GGTATCAAAGACATAAACTCTTTGGTCTCTTTATTTCAGTGTTTCAGACCTGTGGTGAACATCCCTTAAATTCCATTTTTATAGTGACTATACGCCCTGGAGAGAGGCCTCCTTAATTGCTGGAACACCAGTGCATTTTTTTTATAATTATAGTTAAATTACCAATGTTCTTTCTACTGTGGCATAGTTATTGTTGACGAATGCCAAGCTGTCAGTGTTGGCTTTCATTTTCTTTGTAAATGCTGACAGTAATAGGTGTTGCCTTTGGGTGAGTTTTTTGTGTGTTCAGGTACTTTAGTAACTATTATTCAAGTTATTGATATGTTGATGTGAAATTCATAGCAGATGTTATGGTAGAGGTGATGCCTTTCCCTGCAGCTGATGTGAGGTATTTAACCTTGATTTCTCTGATGTTTTTTCTCATCTGTTTACATGGAAGAAACTCGTAGAAAGCATGGAAGTACTGTGGTAGTGGTCCTAATATAGACATAAAGAATTTAATTCTACTATTGATGGTAATTAGTGATTCTTTATCTCTGACATAATGTGGTAGCATAGTGTCATGGTAACCTTTGTATCCATTGCTTGCTTAATTAAGTGAATTAATTTAGGCATTGCACTGAAATGCCAGCAAACTGTAGTCATCTGGTCATATTACAAAGTGTGAAAAATAATTGATTTGCAGAAAAGATATTTTCAGTCGTTACAGCTGGCTTTATACAGCCGTACTGATATTTACCTGTATTCTGATACTGACACTACACTTAGTATTCTCACTGCAGAAATCCTTATCTGTCTGGGTATCTAAACATTTTTTTTCCCTTCCTGGTAGTGGTCCTTGTCAAGCAAACCACAGAACTGGTTGGAAGCTTAAATTGGCAACTGTAATGCAAATACATAAACAAAATCCTTTTAAAAAAAAAAAAGAAGGGAAAAAAGGCGTGGAGGTTTCCCAGCCTCTCTTTTAAAAGTAAGAAGAGACAGGAAAAAGGAGAATTAATAGATAACTGAAATTTGGCAATAGAAGTTAATAAAGCAGTAAGGATAATGGAATTTAATGGTCTTCATTTACCTGTATCTCTTTAACTTCAAAGACACAAAGTTTTCTTTTGTTATTTGTTTGCATTTTAATTTTCATTAGAGTTCTTTACAGACATGGTGTGTAGAAGATTTTACTGCATTGCATGGTAAAGCATATATTACTAACTTTGTGGTACCAGCTACTGAACAGTGATTTATTTATTTATTAATCTCAGGGTGATGTGTTAAAACCAATGAAATAGGATAGCACTTTCAGAAGACACCTGTAAATTTTAAACTGAAATAACACTTCCTCAAAAATTCAAACCTGAAAAATCTCAGAGTAGTTTGGTGTAGTTGCCTTCTGCAGTAGTGAAATGAAAAAAGGAAACGGATTAAAGGGCATAAACATTCCTTTACCTAGTAACCACTAAAATAAGTATTTAAAGACTTCAGTAAGGATTCTATGTACAAAGTTGCCTGGATGGTGATTAGATATGGTTCTGTTATCATTGCAGTGGTGTATTTCCTAATCTTAGTTAAGCAATAAGTCTCTGTATATTCAGATATACAAACACATTTTTCTTGGTTTATGTGGAACTTGGGGAGACAGGTATGGTACTGAGGATGGAAAATTGTTTCCAAGTGAGTTTGTTCTGTTAGAGGGGGGTTTTTTCTTCTTTTTTTCTTTTTTTTAATTTTTCAAATAATACTATTTACAGTACAGTCTTGGCGTGGACTTTTATTATGGTTATAAAAGAAACTAAAAAAAACCATGGAAAAACAACCTTGTGAATAAAATAATTTCTCTTCGTTGAACAAGCATCTTTACACTTAATATGTCTGTGATTTTTCTTTTGGTTCAGAATAGCAAGACCGAAACCTTGTTTACAGTTTTCAGATGAGCACTCATTAAAGCTTCAATCTATATTAATGAAAACTTTTGGATTTAAATATTTCCCTTATGCAAAGTTTTGATAGCTTAGTTTTTTCAATAATGTTTTTTCATGAAACAGTGTAGGCAAGTATGGCTTTGCTTCTCTAGAATTATTGTATTGACTAAGTCTTTGCAATGACTTGAAGTAGTACATTTCAAGGTGATGTTTCAAGTTACTAATATTTTATAAGTATGAAGATTGCATGAAGCATATAGAGTGTGACAAAGTAACTTTGTTAATATGACATGGTATATGACTGGAAACTATTGTCTCTGCAGTACTGACTTGTTTTCTTCAAAATTAAGTATAGAGAAAATACTCTATTCTCTCTTTGCTCATCATATTCATCTATCTTACCGACATTCTTTTGTCTTACAATCCGTCTGTTAATGGTGTTTCTTATTTGCAGTTTGGTAATTATTAGATAAAAAATAATAATGTTAAAATTACAGTATATGTTTCTACAGTGTTACTTTAAAGTATCTTCTAGTTTCAGTAGCAGTATTGGTTTTTTTTTTTCTTTTTAGTGCTTACTGTTGTTATTTCTCATGTTGAATGTGCAACCTGAATGGAGAATTTGACTCTGGGAGCTTTGTCTCAAAGAATTAGTTTCAGATCTAGAACATTTGAAGGTTTTTTTAATTTTCTTTCAGACCTTTCAGTCATTTTTAGTATATTAATTTAGTTTTATATTATTGTATATGAGGTTGGTTTTAAAGGAACCACAGATAGAATTTGTATAACTATATAACTTCGTATTTCTTTTTCCTAGTATTTTTGGTGGGTTGTTCAAGACAGTAGTCTGCTGACTGTAAGGCAATTCATGTTTTTCTAAAATTTTTAGGCTGTGCTCAATAATTCAGTAATGTGCCATTATTACCTATTTAATGTATTCTCGCCATTAAACTTTAATTTCCTTTTGTACAGTTAAATGTCATTGAAGACTGAACTATAACAAGTTTGTGTTGTATTAAGACGACTGATTCAACAGTCCAAGCTTGAAATTCTAACCAAGCAGGTTAAACTTCATTTCAATAAACTGAAAATATACATAATACTACTGGGTTTACATTGGTATGAAACTATATAGGTAGATATTACTGTTTCAAAATCTTGATATTTGTATATTAAGATCCATCACACTGTTGTTTTCTACTTTTTGCCATTCTAAATGAACACTATAAGCTAACAAATGCAGCTTTCTTTTTATGCTACTACTGAAGCTTTAATGAAGAAGAGAGGATTCTTAGGAGGAAAATTTCTATTATATAAAGTTTTCGATCATACTATTAAGAACCAGCTTTTAAATTACTATTCCCTCAGTATTAAATTGCTATCCCTATACATATATATAGTATATATAATACTATATAATTATATAGTATTAAAATTACTATTTAAATTACTATACCTTCCTATTAGTTGGAGCAGGAGAATCCAGGTGAATTATTAGGCCTCATTCCAATGTAAGATATCTTCAGCTTTGTTCCACTTGCATGTAGCGTGTGAAATGACAGCCTTTTAAGTACTTAACAGTATCCAAACACTAGGGAAGTGTTATGAATAGAGTATCCACCACTATTTCCTTGCTTTATTCTGCAACTTGTTGACTATTTTCTGAAGAATCTTTTTGGGGTTTAGTGTAATCTCAAAAACAAATGGTTTATATGATTTCTCTGTATGTCTCTTTCCCCTTACTAGTTTCCAGGTTGTTTGTTATTTTGCAGAGAGATAGGGATCTCAAAAATATTGAGTAATTAGAAATGTGATACTAGGCAGAGTCTCAAATTAGTGCCTCAAGTATGGGGAAAGGTTGAAGCATGAGCTCTGCTGCATTAAGGATCGGAATCCACATGGAAGAGAGTCATTCTAAGTAAAAGCCACAGGGAGCCAGGCCGCATAATTTTTGTAGTTGAGGGAATAACCTGTGTCTTTTGTTATTGGGTTTTGATATGTACAGCACAACACTTTCATCAGCTACAATTCAGTATCAGCAGAACTGGTTTAGTCCTGTACTAGCTGTTTTTTTACAGTGATTTGTGACTTTGTATCTTTTTGGATATAAACAACCACAGCAGAAGAAAACAGCAGACTGAAACTTACTTGCTTTGAGGCAAACTAATAATTCTCTTAGTAGCTTGCACCCTTCCAGTATTTGCAAATGAATTGCTGTAAAAATATTTTTTTTCATATAGGGGGAAAAAATGCCACATTTTTCTACTTAGAAGGATTATGTCAAATTTTTAATGATGACTGCTGGGTTGGAAGTCAATCTCAGTTTCATTTCTAGACTTCCATGCTTCTTAATGGAAAAAAAAGAATTCTGTTGTTCTGTGGTGTCTTTTTAATAATAATTTTTCAAAACTGTTTGTCAATTAATTGGGCCAGGTGGGTGGATATTCCATCTTTATAAGTTCTGTGAAATTACATAGTTAAGAGGAGACAGCACCCCAAATGAGTGTACCTAGTATGGGAAGCCTGAGGTGTGAGCTGAGCTATGTGGCTAAGCATTAAAGAATCCCCAGAGAAGACTCATGTATAATAAAAGGCAAAGAAAATTAGATGTCATACTATATAATTTTGTCATTGGTAGTTATGCATAATGCAAATTTGACATATAAAATATCTACACAGTCCGGAGGACGTGACATCACTTGAACAGAGTGGGGCATGATAGTCAGATTCTCACAGCAAACTAATTTTTTGTGTGTCTTTTCATAGAATGTATTTTACACAATTAATAATTTATTAGAAGAAAAATGGCCAAGATATTTGGAAATTTTATAAAGTCAGTTGTATAGTCTGTTAATGGCAAATTGTCAGTATTGGAAAGAGATCATTTAATGGAAAAGTGTGCCACCGTCTTATGTTGGTATGACCTTGCAGACGTGTAACATAAATATATAAAAATGTCTTGTTTGAAAGCAGGACAGCACTAGCAAATTTTCCAGTTCTAACATTTGTACTGAGTTTCCTTTACCTGTTTGTTTTTTACTGTTACATTGGATTACATTTGAATCGTTTTCCTTAACAAAACCTTACAGCTTTGCTGAGAGTGCCCGAGAAATATATGAAAAATTGTCCAACATGCACAACAACATGAATAAATTGTATGAAAACTTGGGAGAATACTTTACCTTTGATCCCAAAGTAATAAGCATAGAAGAATTCTTTGGCGATCTGAGCAACTTCAGAACTCTGTTTTTGGTGAGTAATGTCTGCAAAACATTATACATGCTCTTATTTCTTCTTTCTCCCTATTTTAATTTTTTCCTCTTCTCTCTACTTCTTGTGTTATAGTTAACTTAATTTTTTGTTTTGTGGCAGGAAATTGGATGAATGTTTCCAGAATTATTTAGATTTTGGTCACTGATAACTATAATCCTCCAGTTTGTATCTTGCCAACTCAACTGTCAATGTGGTTGGGACATACGGATAATGAGAAAATATTTTTCTGCTTTTAAAAAACTTGCCTGTTGGTTGATGCACAACAAACAGGCGTGACATTGCAAAAATGTTAAAATCAAGACCTGAATGGACATGTCTATATTCATGTTGTGTTAGTATCTGGCTGATGCCTTAATGATGCTGTGACGCTAAGGCTGAGACTTACAAAATGAGCTCTGTATTGCTGGCAGAACTCATAAAGTTCACTTAGATGCTTATATTACTATTTCCAGTCATCCAGTGTGGTTGATGTCAGGGTATGGCTTTTTTTGTGAAGGAATTTAAGAATTTCATTTTAAGTAGCCAAGTTTTTTAATGGGTTTAATGTTATCTTTCCTAGTGGCTGTCTGGGAGCCATAATTAGCTGCACCATAGGAAGTGTACAGGGAAAACAGATGCCTAGAATGTCACACTGTGTCTCTAGAGAATATTAACATCGCTTGGAAATACCACTGTTTACCATACAGCTGTGGCTCACTGATCTGTCTATTACCAGTAGCTGGCTTAATTTAACATGTAATCATAAGGACTTCCAGTTTCTATGTGCTGGAGGAATAACTACTTTAAAACATAATTTTCATACCAAGTGTACTTGATTAGAAAGCTTTAACTACTATATATTTAACTATTTATTTTAAAATAGCTGAAATTATTCATTTTTTTCCATAAGCAAATCACCAATTCTTTTATAATTAGTAAGTATGCCAACACATCTGCGTGAAGACTTGTCAAGAACAGGAATAGTTGTCATGAGATATTTCAGCATATTTGCTTTTTCATAAATCCAAGGCTTACATTTTCAAATGCGGATATCTGCATTTCGAAACCTACTCTATTGTAACGACTTGAATCAGACTTCAGACTAGCAATGCCCAAATATTCTGATGAAAATATGTCCTCAAGTATGTATTTAAACTGCTATGAAGGTGGTAGGAACTAGAGGGCAAATGTTTTCTGGAAGGGATATTAGAATGGAAATACTTCCGATTGCTTCCTTTTATTTTCCTTCCTTTTGATTTCCTAAAGACCTGGCTGCTGGCCTGTTGCTCTTCAATGGTTTTAATTGAATTTCCAGGGAGAATATGTGTGAGAGAATCATGTATTACTTTGGAGTGACTGAGTAATACGGGGGTGGGGGGTGGGTGGGGTGGGTGGAGGTGAGGTGGTGGTGGTGAATTGGGATTTCAGGACTTCAGTGGGTAAATGTGAGAAATTAAATAGGAAGTGCAATAACTCTTCTGATAACAAAGCTGGAATGTTTTTGTGGCCTTTCCAAATGAACCAAAAGCAGAAAAGAAATCCCTGTGTGTACATCACAGTTCCAGGAATAGATGAAATTGTCATTGCTTTAAGTTTAGAATGAATTTCTGTAAGTAATTCTGTAAGACTCAAGTGTTGAATTCAGCGGTGAGGGTGTTACTAAATCTATATGTAAAAGGTCTTCATTTCACAGCAAGAAGCTCTACTTAAGACTTTAAGAAATGATAGTGATAATAATTGGACTATTGACTTTTCTCAGTGTCATGAACTTTGGACTATTTGATGTAGAATTAATGATACATGTTTTCATATTATGCTTTCAGTAACACTTGTTCTTTTCAATGTTTTTGTGTGGGTATAACTAATTGGGTGTTGCTAATTATTTTGATAAGGAGAGGAAATACAATCTAGCTGACTACGTTTTATCTATATTTATTGATTGCTAGTTAGGGATAGAGCAATTCTGTGAGATTTATCTGTATATTTTTGTACAGAGGGCAAATCTCTTGAGTTTCAAGGTATAGTAATTTATATTTTCTACATTAACATTGTATTCTATAGAAATAAATAGTTATTCCATCCTTTGGCCTTTAATATAACAGCTATATGATGTATGATTATAACAGTTAATGCTTTACCCCTATGTCTATTATTCTGATAACTTAAAGAACAAAGGGGCAACTGAAGAAAAAATTTGGATTAAAAGCACTGGTTATGAAGGAATCACTACAAGACTTATGGTGCCAAAATTTCAAACGTATGGACATGCAATGCATCTTCTGATGATTTATGTTCCACTACCTGCAAAGACAGAATCTGGGTTAATTGATGAACTTTTTATTTTTATACTTTCCGTACAATATCAACACTAGGTTGCTGCCTATCCATGTCTAAATTCATGGAATTATGTTGGTTGGAGTTCCAGAGACTGCGTAGTTTAACTTTTTGCTCAAAGAAAGATCAAGTTAGAGCAGGTTGCACAGGGCCTTTTTCAACCTCTCTGGGTCCATTTTCCAATGTTTGCTCACACTTGTGGTGGGAAAATAAATAAGTGAATAAAATTTCCCATGTTTCAACTTTTGTCCATCACCCTTTGTTCTATCACTGTTCACCCCTGAGAAAAATTAGTTCTGTCTTCTCTACACCCTCCCATTATGTCATAGACAGCAATTAGGTCTTTGCAGAGCCTTCTCTTCTTACAGCTGAACAAACTGATTTCTCTCATCTTCTACTTCTGTCATATGCTCCAGCCTCCTCTTCCTCTTGGTATCATCTGCTGGACTCACTCCAGTGTATCAGTATCTGTCTTATACTGGAGAGCCCAGCCTGGACACAGAACTCCAAGTGTGGTTTTGAAAGTACCAGTTGAGTAGAAGAATTCTTTCCTTTAACCTCCTTATTACAGTTTTGCATAGCCCAGTGTGCACTCAACCTTCTCTGCTGCAAGGCCACAATGCTGCCTCCCATTCAGCCAGTTCCTGTGAGGACCTTCATTTTTCTGCAAAACAGCTTTCTAGGATTATGTTAGTGGCATTTATGGCTAAGTACACGCCTTGCAATTCAAGCCTATAGAATCCAAAAACCTTAGAGGTTGACCGGGGGAGGGTTGTGCTTTTTTTTTTGTCTGTTTTGTTTGGTTGGTTTTTTTGTCTTGGCTGAATTTCATAAAAAGTATTTGTAATAATAGCCTGTCTAGTTTTAGGTTTCAGTGCATCTCTGATGCCTGTGTTTAAGGGATGACTCTTATTTGGCCTGAATTTTCTCCCTCCACCAGCCCCACCCATCCCCCAAATATCTGCTAATTTACCTCATTTAAGTGAGGTCCTGTTTTAGGAACATTTAGTGAAATACTTTGTTCACATGCTTCCCAATCTAGATTGTTCAGGTGGTGTATTTAGTCACAGAAGAATTTTAATTGAGATTAATTTTTTCTTCAGTATGAAATCACTTCATTTGTACATAGAAGAAAGCTCCAGATACCTAATTCTCACTGTTTTAAAAGCTGTCAAAGGTTAGGACAGTTTTAACTTTATTTTTAAGAACTGAAATAGCTATACCAATCAGAGCAATGAAGGTATTGAGACTACTTGTGCAAACTACTGTTAATTATTATTTACACATAATCCTCTGCTTAATGCTATAAACACGCGTATGCATCTTACTTCTCTATGGATATGAAACAGTGGTGTAAATTGTATAAACTATCCTAATCATTTATACTGAGAAATATTATCTGGGTTTTATTTGCCAGAATCTCTTTTACTTTGCTCTTTATATGTCAGTGCAGAGATACTTGCTTTCTTCCGAGTACTAGGCAGTACTCAAAGCAGACAGCAGGCTTGCCTTGATTTTATTATTATTGTTATTGTTATTATTTAATAGGAAGGGAAGAGGCTGTTGTGAAAGTGTTTGGCACAGTTGAAACACTCTCTGCTTGAATCCTTTTCTTCTGCTAGATTTGATGTTGAGCAAGTAGGTTTTGTATATTTTCAGCAGATTGTAACTACTCTGCTTTTTTCAAATGTAATCTGTCTTTTGTATTTAATTTATGTACTCAGTTAAATCAGTTTTAATGGACTTTCCTTCTTTCTAAAAAGTTGATATGAGTAGCAGCTATGGATAAATCAAGATTAAGGCCTCCTTCTGGTAGGCACTGTGTAGTTGTGAACTAGTGGTCATGTGTTACTGAGGATCACAATAAGCTCACGCATACGTTCTTATAATCCTTGGTATGAGATTGTCATGTTCTGATGACAGCTCATCAGAACCCTTCATCTTGTGGTGTAAATATACTCAAAAAATTAACGCATCGCAAGACATTAACATCTCACTACCTAATTGACATAAAGTGCATTCTGTGTCAAGGGGAAATCATTATTAATACTAAGTTCTGTTACTTCTTCTAGCCAAAGTCACAATCCACCAGGTGTTTCAGGGACTGAGTATTGGAGTTTCTACAAACCTGTATGTGGTCAGTTCTTAGGATATTCACACGATATGTACGTTTTACCTAATAATAACAAACTGCAATAAAATGCTTTTCCAGGGTGGAAAATTATCCCAAAGACTAAGTCTTTGTTAATTAATCTTGTTTATCAAGACCGAACTGTCAAGTTCTATGTTCTGGTCTGGAATATTAAACTTGCATTCAAAATAGAAAAGACATACCACAAATAGTCTTTCTGAGTTTCCAGAAAAGTAGGGCTAATTTCTTGCATTGCTTTATAATTTTAGAAAGTGGAAAAAATAATTTGCCAAGATACTGTTCTAATGCTATGTGTTGGTCTAAATAGTTAATTATATCCATCTGATGCTATTGTCTTGAAAATTTTTATCTGTCCTTTTATCTTCTAAGCCTCTTTTTAAAAAAAAAAGTTACTAAATAAGGAAATTAACTTGTACCGTATGTATGATGCATACTAATTTAAATAGTAATGCTTTAATATAAAAAAGTGAAATCTGAGGCTTACGCAGCTTAAGGAGACATTTTCTTTTCCTTA